TTTCAGCATGTACTAATGTCTTATTAAAATCACAAGTTGATTGTGTTTGTTAACATTAATGCACTGTGAGCTAACATGAACAAACAATGAATGAACAACTGTATTTTTATTAAATAATGTTAACAAAGACAAAAATAAATAGTGTAATAAATAAATTGTTAATTGTTTGTTCTTTCAGCGATGATTATGCCTTTGATTAGCCATTGCATTAATAAACTCAATGGAATCGTATGTTATTGGTTGTAATGCTCACCGCTGTAAAAACAAAAAATATATATTTTGTTTTATTTGTTGGCCCTAATATGCAGAGTTAATTATTCATTTATTTATCACAAGTAATCATCATTGCAAAAAAAAATAAAAAACTCCACTGTTATCACACATAGCAGAATTTCCTCATATCGTGCAGGACTATTAGAAAGGCAAAATCAATGCAAATCAGTGGATATGTCTGCTATAATAGGATAGGTGTGTTAAGGCCAGTTGGAGCTAAACTCTGCAGGGCATTGGCCCTCCAGGATCTAGTTAGAAGACCCCTGTCCTACAGAGTTGTTACTTTGCACATGCTTTTTGATCATTACAAATAATAATGTAAAATGATTTTCTTAGAATAGGAGATATGCTGTCTCTCGCATCACATACATTATCAATAGTTAAGTATGTGGTCTTGAAGAGGATCCTTTTTTTTCTCTCATTTGGACTCGGTCTTGACTTGGACTCGAAACTTTTGGACTTGGACTTGACTTGGACTCGAACCTCTTTGGACTCGGTCTTGACTAGTCCTGGTCTTGGACTTGTCTTGGACTCGACAAAGCTGGACTTGACTACAGCTCTACCTTGCTGCTTGCAGGGATTGAACCAGCATCATTCCAGTTACGAGCCCTAAACTCTGGCTACTACTCCACCTTCTCCAACAGAGGAACTCTGTTTAATAACATCCACTTTCACCCTCATATCAGTCATTCCATTATGTCACTCATCCAATTCTCGTATTGCATATAATGCATCTCATATGTTTGCATTAAATAATGGCATAGACTGAAATGAGAAATTATGGGACCTGCAAAATGAAGTGAACAGCCAAGATCTTCCCATTTAAAACTCCAAGCTTCCAGAACATTCTTATCCCAAATAAAAGATGAGATTGGGAATTGGAGAGCTTGTTGAAAATAAAATCTTCAGCGCATTAATAATCCAAGATGGAGTCAACAGAATTTTGAACCTGCCACTCTCCATTGAGAGTTTTATGGGTAGCATTTTTCCCAGACTGATCCCTATATGCTTCCTCCTCACCACTGGAGTATGACTGAAATCATATGAATGAATTGATCAGGTTCGTCCTTTGTGGTACAGTCCCTTCTGAATTTTTTATTTTTGCTCTGACTGAAACGTGCCACATGCTTAAGGTTTGGGAAAGCCATTTTGGACACCATAGTGGGCACTTAAAAACCCTGGGAAATAAGACAGAGGTCAGAGTTGACGGAGGGAGGTAGAGCGTAGCATTGGAAGTCAATATATGGTAGTGGGCTAGAGAGAAGAGAGATGGAAGGAGGGCATGGGGTGTTAATAGAATGAAAGAATCAGCAGGATGAGCTAGCCAGTCCAGCATGCAGTGTTGACAGGTAATCATTGAATGCCAACCATGAGGAGAGAACAGAAGCAGCAGAACTCTGTCTCTTTACTGTTTTTAGTGTCTCTTGATAGTGGATGACAGCTGATAAAGTGCCACAGTAATCCCACAGTGCTGACTGAAACTTGTGAAATGAGACAATGATATAAGATGCTATCGGCTATAGACCCTTAGCATCTAAAGCCCATGAGATATCATAATAAGTTTGATATCAGAGCTCCAAAACGTTTAAGACTTTTCATTGGTTAGTCTTAATGTGAAGTGCTATTGGACACTTTTGTCTTTTCTAGTAAAAATCTAGTCAAAATGTGAAGCAAAACTTGTTTTCAGTGAATTTATACCATTCAAATGTTTGTGTCTGTAACATTTTTAAAATACATTTTTGAAAGAAGTCAAGTCTGCTCGCCAAGGCTGCATTCATTTGGTCAAAAATACGGTAAATGCACTGCTATATTGTGAAATATTACAATTGCAAAGTAACTGTTTTCTATTTGATATTTAAAAATTTAATTTATTTCTGTAATGCAAAGCTGAATTTTCATTACTTCAGTCAGTCAGTGTCACATGATCATGCAGAAATCATTCTAATATGTTGATTTCATGCTCAGGAAATTTTTTTTATTACTAATGTTGAAAACAGTTGTACTGCTTAATATATATATATATATATATTTTTTTTTGCAAACAGTGATATTTTTCTAATACTTTTATTAATATAAATCTTTAATGTTGGGAATGTCTTTATTATCACTTTTGAACAATTTAATGCATTCTTGCTGAAAAATATGAAACTAAACTCTATGCTAAACTCTGAAGCTGTGAAGCGGAGTCTCCTGTGCTGAGTGCTATTTCTGTGACATCTGAGAGCAGTTTCTAGATTGATCATTTATGAGGTTTCATGATATTTTGGAGGAGGCAGCGAGGCAGCTCACTAGGTTTTAGAACAAAACTAAACCAAATTCCTCTGACTACTCCAGGTCTCATCTATAAAGTATGTGCTATTGTCTCAGGGCAGGTTTTCAACTATTTCTGTTTTGTTTGTCCAACCTAAAACCCTCTCTTTCTCTCACCCCTTTTGCAGCCCTGCTGGCTTCAGGACATTTCCTGGGAGGAATTTCCGGCAGTGGATACTTCATCCAGCAATCGCCAAAGGGTTATCTGTTCTCACGGTCGGTGATGGTGTGACAGACACATCTTTCACGCTCTGATCTTCCCGAGGGGGAGCCACTGAGGATTAGCTGGCAGATGATGCATCAGGGGGAGGAGGAAAGGCCGTGTTTATCTGCTGTCCCCGTGTCACAGAGAGCTTCTGAGGAGCATTCAGCTGCCAGCGGCTTCAGCGGGCCTCAGCCATCCAGCTGTTCACCTCACTGCCACAGCTAAAGTGATGAGTCCCAACCTTCCCTTTCAGGTAGATACCACCGTTTCCTCGCTCTAATTGCCCGCTAGCCCAATTCCCCAGCCTGGGCTCGACCGTCTTGGAGTCTGTAATAGGTGGAAGTACAGTGTTACGTGAGAGGTCTCTGCCAAGCTGCGCTTGCTCCTTTCCCTGTGCAACTAGAACTAATGAAGAGAAATAGCTGCCATTTTGGGTCCCCGTGCTCACTGCATGTCAGTTAGAGGAGACATCTATTCATTTAATTATAAGACCGGTCTGACAAGGTGGCTCAGCAAAGGTTTCTCATTGTGTAAAGTATGATCAGTATTTTAAAAAGCACTTTAACAGTACAACTGAGGATTTTATCAATATAATAAAGCTTTTAACCCGTATACAGTACTGTAGTGCTGTTTAGGGGTCAGGGTTTGGCAGGTTAGCATGACCCTGTGACTGTGCGCAGTTTTTGTGTTGCCCTCAGCTGATCAGTAATAGTGCCATTTGTGTATGGGTCATATTGTACTGGACTGCTTTTAAAGGAATCAATTTTATTCAGAAATTTCATTAATGGATTCTATTTAAAAAAGTTTCACTTGGGAAAATTTTCTTTTAAAAAAAGTTTCACTTGGGAAAATTTTTGAATTTGTAACAAATATTAACCTGAATGATCTGATATACACTACCAGTCAAAAAGTTTAGAATAATTACAGTTTTTAAAATTAGCATATTATAATGATTTCTAAAGGATCATGTGACATTGAAGACTGGAGTAATAGCTTTTAAAAATTCAGACCTAACTCACTCAACTTGTTAAAGGGTTAGTTCACCCAAAAATGAAAATTCTGTCATTAATTGTTGTTCGAAACCCGTAAGACCTTCGTTAATCTTCGGAACACAATTTAAGATATTTTTGATGAAATCTGAGGTCTCTCTGACCCTCCCATAGGCAGCTAGGTATCTACCACGTTCAAGGTCCAGAAAAGTACCAAGTAGAGCTGTAGTCAAGTCCAGCTTTGTCGAGTCCAAGACAAGTCCAAGACCAGGACTAGTCGAGACCGAGTCAAGACCGAGTCCAAAGAGGTTCGAGTCCAAGTCAAGTCCAAGTCCAAAAGTTTCGAGTCCAAGTCAAGACCGAGTCCAAATGAGAGAAAAAAAGGATCCTCTTCAAGACCACATACTTAAATATTGATAATGTATGTGATGCGAGAGACAGCATATCTCCTATTCTAAGAAAATCATTTTACATTATTATTTGTAATGATCAAAAAGCATGTGCAAAGTAACAACTCTGTAGGACAGGGGTCTCCTAACTAGATCCTGGAGGGCCAATGCCCTGCAGACTTGGTACTTTTCTGGACCTTGAATGTGTTAAAAGATCCATGAGAGTAACCAAAGATTTTTTTTTAAATTTAGCAATGCTAATCTTTTTAACAATCCTCTTTCTTTTAGATTTAGATTTTTTTTCAAAGCCTTCTACATAATATGTGTAATATTTGCCTCTTATAACTAAATTAAAACATTTATGCTGATAGACAAATGTATTAAACAAGTTGTAATGAGATGCACATATACAGTACCTCAGCACACGATCTCAACCATGGTGAGGATCAACAAATTTAAAGGGGTCATATGATGTTGCTAAAAATAACATTATTTTGTGTATTTGGTGTAATGAAATGTGTTTATGCGGTTTAAGTAAAAAAAACAACAACATTATTTTCCACATACTGTACATTAATGTTTCTCCTCTATGCCCCGCCTTTCTGAAACGCGTCGATTTTTACAAAGCTCATCAGTCTGAAAAGCGCGGTGTGCTCTGATTGGCCAGCTGTCCAGTGAGTTGTGATTGGCCGAAAATCTCAAGCGTGTGACATGTGAAATGTTACACCTCTTACCATATTTTGAAACACACAGCGTCTCCACGACAACAATACTACAGCGATAATAAAAGTTATGCCTTCTTTCTTTGTGTAAACATTTGGGCGGTGTTATGCAAATCTTCCCACACAGTGATGTAGACATGAACTTAACCACTGATTTCTAGTCGTGTCCTCTTTTGGAAGACCAAACAAAGTAGTTTCACTTTCACAACGAAACACACGGCAGGCTAGAGTGAGTGGCGGCTGGGGGCTAGAGTGCGCGAAGGCCAGAGGCCTAGAGTGAGTGGAGGCCAGCTTGAGTGAGCGGTGGCGGGCGGGCTTGAGAATGGCGCGGCCGGCGGATTCGACGAAGGAGCAGCCGGCAGGCTTGCGGCAACCACATGTGACGACCCCGGGCTGGACTTCGCTTCGTCCACGGTGAAAGCCGATCCGGCGATCCACAGCGTGAAGTTGATGTATTTCCTCAGCGACCAGCACGGATCAGCTCTAGGCATGACGAAGCAGATATCGTCCTCTTTTGGAAGACCAAACAAAGTAGTTTCGCTTTCACAACGAAACACACAGCGCCTTCACGACATGGCGGCAGCAACAATACTACAGCGAGAATAAAAGTTACGCTTTCTTTCTTTGCATGAACATTTGGGTGGCGTTATGCAAATCTTCCCACATCGTGACGTAGACGTGGGGGCATGTTAGAACGAGCCGTTTTAGGTAGGCGTGGTTGACTCTTAACTTTTTTTAAAGAATATCTCTTTGGATTTAAGTCTTTAGTCTTTGCAACTTTACAGATCTTCTTTATGCACCAAGAGCTTGTAACACTCCAAAGAGAAAGGAAAAATTTAAATTGCATCATATGACCCCTTTAAATCAGTTAAAATTTTAACTCTGATCCACATGACAGCTAACTGACAGTGACAACAGCAGCAACAGCATAAATTAAGCCAGTAAAATTTAAAACAATGATAATATTTTAATAATAATTAACATCAAATGTTTTCAAGCTGCAATGCATGCTGGGAAATTGTGTAATATTATTCCATGCAAAATTGTTTGTTCAGATGACTCAATTTGAAAAGTTGGGAGAACATGTGGATATGTTGTGAACAAATACTTGAGTATCTAAGTAAGGTAAACAAAACAACTTTTGCTAGCGACATGTTTAGAGTATTTTTGTTCAGTTCACACAAAAAATTCAACTAGCTTCTACTAAAAATTATTTGTTCAGTTAGTTTAGTTTAGTTTGCCTTTGCTTAAAATAAATACATTTTAGTATTTAGTCACATGGTTTTTACGATTCAGGTGTTTAGCTCAAAACAACTTGCTTTAAGCAACAACTAGTGGCCTGGATTCAGTGTTACACAAATGTGTTTTTTTTTACTAGCAATACTATTAGCAGAGGTCAGTCATGATTAAATCATTCTGTATACGAATGTGCAATAATGGAGGTCAATGAGATAAAGTGTGTAGCATTCAGCTTGTCGTGTGATCTCAACTTGGCCACCCCTCTCCATGTAAAATACATTTATTGAGCTACTGATATATTTGGCTACTTCATGTGCAAAAATTTATTTATTTTTATTTTTAAGAGTAAAACTTTTTAATGAGGGAAAAGGTACTAAGTTCACCTTTAAAATACCTTTTTCCCTTCCTTTTGTTAATGCCAGCTTGCTAATGCAGTGCAGGTAGAGGCTTATTATCAAGTTGTGTGCTTCCGTGATTTTTATGGACAAATAAGGCAGGCGGAAATGACAGGTGGTGTTCAAAGGTTTGCTCGGCTTGTCGAACACAAGCCAATTGGACGCACCTGAATCAAATTTGAATTTAAAATACATATTCAAAATACAAACGTAATTTGGGGTCAGTAAGTTTTTTTAAAAGGTGAATACTTTATAATTGATACTGTATTTACTTTATAATTAATACGTTAATATATTTTAATAATTTTAACCTTAAAGGACACATCACATTTCTATTTTAAATCAATTCTGTTCTTTTGAACGTTCTATTCATCAAAGAATCCTGAAAAAATATATACATCACAGTTTCCACAAAAATATTGAGCAGTACAGCTGTTTACGGCATTGATAATTATATATAAGAAATGTTTCTTGAGCACCAAATGAGCATAAGATTTCTAATGAATCATGACGTTGAAGACCATAGTAATTACTGTTGAAAATGCTGCTTTGCCATCACAGGAAATAAATTATTATTTAAAATTGTAATTGCATTTCACAATATTACAGTTTTTTCCCCGGGCGCCACAGCGTTGCTGTGTGTGTGTACTTGGATGGGTGAAATGCAGAGCACAAATTCCGAGTATGGGTCACCATACTTGGCCACAAGTCCTTTCCTTTCCTTTCCTTTCCTTTCCTTTCCTTTCCTTTCCTTTCCTTTCCTTTTCCTGTGTTTTGATCAAATACACGCATTCTTGGTTAACTATAAGAGACTTCCTTGACAAACATTTACAAATCTTACCAAGCCCAAACTTTTGAACCGTAGTAGTACACAGTTATACAAAATGTCATTTCCACAAGTGAACACCAACCATATTTCTTGGAGATTATAGTTAATCGGTTTCAATAATTGGTAATTTGACAATTTTTTAAGAACGTATTTGTTCATGTTTCTTCAGTATTCTGTTTTTCGGTATTGCATTGTTTTGCTGAAGTACAGCTTATCTAATTAATATTAGTTCAGACATTATTTTGAGACAAGTTCTACTTAGCCTCTGAGGGAATTTTTTAGCAGGTTTTGAGAGACAGGTGTTGAGTGTCTGAATGAAAGCTGACCTACAGGTCAACATCACTTATTTATTCACTTAGAAACGTTAAACTGAAATATGCTACCAAAGATTGAACGGGCCAAGCTCCAACGTCCCAAGCAACCAGCTCTAGCCTCTTTAAGAGGATATCTGTGTATACCCTTTTGAAAATACCTAATTCTATCAAGACATTTACTTGTGGGAGCTGTTAAAGGATAAGAGATCTTTTTTCACTTTGTCAAGGCCTCTCACCATATTCCTCTCAAATCAGATTTTCCTGCAACACTGCTGAAGCAATGAAATAAAAATCTAATTTTCCAAAATGAAATCAACCAAAAACCAATTGGGAGCTGCAGGCTTTCCCTGAGAAATCACATCAGAATAATTCCACGTTCCAAACACATATTTTAGTCTGATAGCAATTCATCCATCAATACACCGATTCTGTTTAGCCACCTCGAACAGATCGTCCGCAGGTAATGCATTGTATGGCGTCTCCATAAGAGAAAAATCTATCAATTTTAATTCAGATAATACTGTAATACACGGGTCTATGCAGAGCTGTCCCATATATGAAACAATGATGCTATAAAATATAGAGATCCCCATTTCTCGCCGCAGGACTGGCGCGAATGAATAACCTTGGTTTGTGCTGCCGAGCTGTTTAAATGAGTTACTTTCCCATTTCGGTTGTCAATGGAGAAGTTTATTACATGTGAGAGGCATAACGTGGATCCGGTCCATTGCATATTTGCCATTTGAATAGTGTGCAGATTTCCATCAGTCAGTGTGTGACATAAAACAAAGCTAGCGTGCACACAGATACGGTAAAAAATGTTCATAGTTCAAGATCAGCTGCTTTAAAAAGTGAATAGTACAAATACAATAGCGTACAACTGCTATCTTGAAATGTTCATTGTAAATCAGATATGCATTGAAATTCCCTCTCAACATGCTTGGAAAGTCAGTGATTTCAGAACTAATCCTTCACCCCAAGGATATGAATTACAGCGGTGGGGGACAGAATTAAATGAGTTGCAATAAAAAGGTGTTAATACCCTCAATTACTTCAGGGCTGAAAGACCCAGTGCTCTGCCTGTGTTTACCGTGGTAGTTACCGCATCAATGCGTGCAGCTTTAAAACAGAATGATCCTGATCGTTCAGTGATCGTGAATAGCGTGTGCTCGACTTCTCGTCCTCGAGGATTAAATGACTAGTCAAACGCATGCCGGTGATTAATATAATGATTCCCTAGAGTTGTTTATCACACTTGGCTGGTGTATTCGCTCCCTAACAGGTGAGAGAGAGCATAATCACCATTGTTTGCTTTTGTTTTTTGTTTTTGCAGGACTAAAAGTGGACAGGATGTCAATGGGCTGGACTATGATTCTAAAAGATGACTCAGGTGTAACGGGCTGGACATGGCGTGTTGGGAACTACCTGCTGCTCTCTATGTCTCTAATTGGAATGCAAGTGAGGTCGGACCTGGAATTTCCAAAGGACAGACACTATGTGTGGAAAACGGGTAAGTGCGTTGACTATGATGTCTATTCCTGTGATATGGAGATTTCTACGATAGATCTCTTTTTAATGGCTCCGCTTTGATGTTTCTCCCTCCTGTTAGCATTACACCGCATCCATCCATCCGTCCATTCAGGATTTTATCTCACTCTAGCTCCAAGCAATATGGTGTTTATCAGGAACTAGCGTAACAAATTCCTCCGTGCCGTTTCAACATTTCATGCTGCTTTCTTCCTTCTCATGCTTAATTATTACTTTGCTGTCTGAGATGTGGCCTAGCAGTTAATGTGCTCTGTTTTCATTTACTCATCTTTTTTGTTGTTGTTCTAAACCCATTGCATGGAGCACAAAAGGAAAGGTTTCACAGAATTTCCAGGCTGCTCTTTTCAAGAGCAGGGGTCATTGAAAAAAACGCGCTGCAATTCGTTGCAGTTTTCAGCTGCAGTGAACACTAGTGGCAGTAAAACCAACAACTTGTATTCCTTTTCATACAAATTATAATTAGAGTGGCAGGTTACTGATTAATAAAGACTTATTTTCGTGCATTTTATTGCATAATACTGTTATGACCTCAAAACGCTTTTACCAAAACTAATACATTTTTACATTTGCATCACATAATCAATTATGTATGGCTTTTCTGGCATAGTAAACTTGCTCAGTAGCTCACCTGATACAGCGTTGCTCTTGTGATGTGAAGCACTTGTGTTCGAATCCCGTGAAACACAATTCACGTTATAAAGCTGAAAGACTTGTAGAAGCAAGCTAAAATGGCATGGTTGCTTTAACAAATGTGTTTTACCTCATGTTTGCTTTTGTTAACACTATTGGTTAGGTTTAGAGTAGGGTTTAGTATAGGTGCTACATTATTTTTTGAAGTATGATAGATCATGAACGTTTTAGTGCCACCCGCCAGGCATTTTATATACTAACATAATACAACTCTTATATACTAATGTAATGTAACTTTGTAAGATTTGCGTTCATCTGTAACACTTTTAGCTTATTAGCAAGCCTATTATTAACAAATTGGCTGTTTATTAGTACTTATAAAGCATATATTCTGCATGACCATATTCTATATCCCTAATCCTACCCAATACCTCAACTTAACAACTACCTTACTAACTATTAATAAGCAGAAAATTAGGAGATTATGGAGGAAAAAGTCGTAGTTAGTGGTTTGTTAATAGGGAGAATTGGACCTTAAAAAAAAGTGTGACCCTTTCATCTGTTTCAGATAAAGCTGAAAGTGCCACTCACTGCACATTTCACTTTAAAAGCAAGAAGCAACTTAATTTAATTTGAAAAAAATAAATAAAACTTAATTTAATTTGGCATAAATGACCCTGGGTTGTCTTTTCTGTACAATGAAAGTGAAAGGACACCACAGCTGTTCTTGATTCCCTTCACTTTAATTTTAAGCAGTGTGGTCATTCTGCTAAATTTCTACTTTTGTGTCAAACTGATGAAAGGAACTTTCATAACTGATTTGGAATAACATGGAGGTGAATAAATTTCACTTTTGGGTGAAATATCCCTTTAATTGCATTGTATTGACTCTGCACTCTGTCTGCTTGTGTCTTTGTGGAAAACAATCTTTCATCTGTTTCTTTTTTCCCCCACTGAGAATCCCTCATTCACACACCTCCCAACATCACAACGACACTGACATCTTACGCTGGAATGAAAAACTCTGCCGAGTTTGATCAAGGGATCCTGTGTGGATGTGGGTCTGTTAGCATAATATATGCTCTGAGAAAGATTATCCATCTCTTGCCGAACAATGACAGGCCCTACTGCAGAGAAGGTAATCACATATAATGATGTATATAGTAATCTATTCCAAGTCCTCAAAGCTGGAGTAATTACGTACCGTTATGCCTAGCTCGAGATTTATGGGCTTTGCCAAGGCATTCTGAAGTAAGGCAGGATTTTCTACATGTTGTGCTCAGTTTCACAAACAAGAAAATCTGATTCCGACCCTTAATCTCTGCTTCTGTCAGAACAGGTCTGATTTTTCCCCTTGCTGCAGTGATTGATTCCAGATAAGGACTTTTACCCTCTGCGCACACGACTTTCTGCAGCTGTTGACTTCAAAATATTTGATGAATGAAACGTGAAGTCATTTGCATTCCATAAATGATTTAAAACACCCAAAGGTGATTCAATTTGAGCCTGATTGTTGTCCTAGCTTTGCCTCCAAGAAGCAGACCCGCAGAATGAAGCAAAAAGCCCTTAGAGTAACGAACGCAGTGCATCGCTCTCAGATCAGCAGTGTGGAAAATGAAGTAATGAATTTAAACTCACTGCCTCAGATGTTTTCTCTGTCCCTGTGAGTGTGGTTTCAACCTTTTTTGTACACAAAGGCCTCATTGGCTTTATGATCAGCGCTTTCATGTGCTTCCCCTCAGTGTGACGATGGTACTACTCAAAAGATAAAGAGATTGATGAACTACACTTGAAAAAGCCTGTACGCAGAAAGAATCTAATCAGATCATTGTGAGCAAGGCTGTGATATCTCTACCGAGCAGTGACGGCTGATATATATCGCTTGGAAAAATGAGAAATCACATCGCTGAATACTTTTTAACGCTTTTTGGTGCGAGTATGACTGACGACAGGCATTGTACGTGCATCTGATATGTCAATGGCTGTTAGGATTGACATCAAATTTTTATAGAACAGATTATCATATGGTTGGACCAATTAGCAATGCCTTATAGAGCATGAGAGATTGCTGGTGTCAATTATTAATGACTTGAATATAAAGTCAACTCAGTTCCACTTAGCTGAGTTTGAATTATTAGATTGTAGTGATGGTTACTTTCTGAGGTGCTGGCTGTGGTTGTTGACTACATTTCTAGCACCAGTCATCAGCTAGTCAGCATCTCTGTAAATTTCAAAGTCTGGAAAACATTTAATTGCCTCTTTGTCGGTTTGTATGACTCTACACTTGTGGTGATTGGTGTCCTATAATTCTTCTAGGCATTTAACCACAGGCAGAGCTGAGTTCAAATGAGTGTTCAACTGTTATAGGTGAAACCGCTTTCTCAGAGTTGGCAGAACAGTGGGACTCTTCACGTTATGGAGAGCTGATGTGTGCTTTAGGCTTGACCTTCATCACTGTCTGAGAAACGGGGGGTACCCAAGGCTGTGGGTAATGGGATGATCATTTAGCTCCTTAAACAAAGCACTCTCATTAGGGCCTGTGAGGAACAATCCCTTCTGCTCCATTTTTCACCAGTGACTGCCTGAAGAGAGGGAGAATGAGAGTCATCAGTGATTTGAATATATGCAGGGTTTCTGCATGTGATTTTCATCTGAAATCAAAGGAGCCTGCTGAAAATGTGAGTATTATTTCACATTGAGCTATCTGAATGGGCTTTTAACAAGCTTTACAAAATAGCAGGTGTAGTTAGCATTGTCAACCCTCATGCACAGTAAGAATATTGTGTATTAACCGGTTTCCAGAATGACTTTTTCCTTGTAATGCTTTAGGAGAAATGAAGGCGATTGTATCAGGTTTTGTTTGCGAAAATAGTGGATGAAGAGCAATGCAGCGTATGCTGTTATCTGAGCTTTTTTAAGCATATTTGAACTTATTTTTGAGTTATTTGTGCATTTGAATAGTTTTTTTTAATAGTAAAATAATGTTTTAGTTTCTAGCTCTCACATACTGTATGCTTGAGAACTGAGTGTACCATTCATCAGCGTACTATTATATAGACAGAAGAAGAAAATGCTGTGCAAATGCTTCATTAATTGTCTAAATATTGTTTTGTTTTTTTTCATTTTCCTCTTAGTGAAAGTCCAGATGGTCTGTTTTAATGAATGCTCACTTTGTGGTAATTTTACATTAAAATATTTTCCAGACAATAGAATTGTGCCCTTTGCAAATCAGTGAATTCCGCTACATTTAAATGTATACATTTGGCAGATGATTTTATCTCAAGTGACTAGCATTGCATTCATGTATACATATTTTTAAGTTTATGCATTCCCTGGGAATCAACCCTACAACATGGGCTCTATACAGGATGGATGTAGCTAACCACATAATGGAGATCCCTACTACAGTATATAGTAGGTGAAAAACAGCATGGCTTTGTCCAAAAGCTAAAAATGCTGCCTTTGAATGATGCATTTCTAGGTAGGAAGGCATTAAGGCATGTCCGAATCCAATGTTAGCTTCACTTCCTGTCTCCTGAGATGCCTTTATATGATACATTTTTGAAGGCAGCATAGATATATAATTTGCTGCCTTTGATATCCCCCGTGCATTCAATTCCGTTGCAGTTGGTGGTTAGTTTGTGTATAAATGTATGTTTTTGACCAACTTTTTCCATTTTGGATGTCATTACTAGCAAGAAATTACTATTGTAGTACTTAAATTTTTCCTCAGTTATCACCAAAGCTCTCTCTATTTTGTTGTAAATCATTAAACCGTTATGTTGCCTAAGAAGTCTGTCTGAAGTCAGTTTTGACAGGTAACTTTGTGGGCAAACGCTGCCTGCAAAATCATTAGCTACATTTCCATTTACCTTCAGATTATACAAATTGAAATTGAGAAGTAAAAATACATCCGATGTAAACACGTAAATTTCGCAAAAACTCCCATATATCGCAAAAAAGATTTTACACTCGCATGAGGTGGTTTTTTAGGCAACTCGGAAAAGGAATATTTGGCAAAACTGCAATGGAAACGTTTTTTTTTTTCACATTTACAGTCACCTGGCGTACGTAAAAGTCACAAGATGACTGACACATCATGGCTGATCGTGGGCACTCTAGTCATAGTTAATGCTTGTGTTTATACCTGCCGCATCGCAGCCCCCCCCACGCTCCTTCTCTAAAAATACATGCTTGCATATCCTTCAATAAAAAATAATGGCTAATGCAGTGGCTGCAATATACATAAACCTACCAAAATCTGTCGGCATGACTTATCGCCAGAGGAACAAATTATGTTTTAGTCGCATACCATGGGTGAATGGAAATGCC